GTTGGCGGTGAATACGACGCACCCTCTGGTCCAATGGCGTTCTACCGCTGGATGCTCGACCTCAAGAAGAACCCCGAGCTCGCCTGGATCCGCGACGATCGCCCGACGAGCGGCCCCACCAGCGTGATTGGCAAGAGTATCTTCCTCTTCATGTACCCCATCCGCAATGGCGACCTCATCAACATATCCGGTGCGCACCTCGACAAGCGCTCAGACGCCGACAATGTTGGTATGTCGCAGCCGCTTATGCCTTCTGCTTTGGCTACAATTAACTTGAATGGCGGCAGATTGGAATGAAGAGGTCCCAAAAGAGGCATTCCTCAAGTCGTTCGAAGACTATGGCGAAAAATTCAAGCCAATAGTCGCTGTCGCAGAAAAGCCGCACATTTGGAAGGTCAAGGCGCTGCCCACCCTCCCCACTTGGACCAAAGGAAACGTCGTCCTCATTGGCGACGCCGCGCATGCTATGCTTCCCAGTATGTTATCTTCCCTCCCTGATTGACAGCTTACTCTGACCTCTGGTAGCATACGGCATTGGCTTCGCTATCGGACTGGAGGACGCTGCCACAATCGCGACTCTCCTCCCGCGCGGTACCAAACCTACCACGGTCGCCGCGCGTCTCAAGGCATTTGAAGAGATCCGCAAGCCACGCGCGGAGCGCGTCTCGCAGATGAGTGCGGACGGAATTAAGCAGGGTGGGAAGACACAGTGTATGTTTTTTATTCGTCCATCGTTGCGTCTTGACCACATTAAACCATTTGCTGTGTAGTCTCATGGGTTGTACCGGAGCTGTACGACTACGATGTCCTCGGCACTGCCAAGGCGGCTTTGGTGAAGATTTGAACGGCGGAAGATATGCATAAGGCTGGGATATCTTAGCCACTGTCTCAGGCTACGAGCTATAGACTTGAATCGAACCAACAATGGGCAGTTAAAGCCACATGCATGATTCCCTTTGGCTTACTGAAAAAAAAAACTAAGGGATTCTCCTTCTCTGATGAGCAACATATCGCGACTTGCGGTCTCACTGCTGACAGCGCTCTGCATTCCCCTTCACCGCTTTCCTTTGTTTGGACTTGCATCGTGATCTCCCATCAACGTGTTGGTCACGTGAGGGTGTACAATTTGCTAACTTGGAACTTCAAAGCAATTTTATCTCTTCTTGGTCTCGTTCTTCGTCCGCCAAATTTCCAACTGTAGCGTCTCGTTCTGCCTTGCCCTCTCTCAATTTGGCGTCTTTCAGGTTGGAACGCGTTTTTTTTTTTTTGGCTCAAAATGAATGAGGAGCGCTCACTGACAGGAATCTTTCTTCAGTTTGTCTTTTATCAGCTTCTGCACGCATGACCTCCCTTATGACGTACCAAACGTTGCGCATGGGAAACGCAACCAAAAACTTTCGGGGCATAAAAACTTTTTTTCTTGACCCCTCAGATTCCCTTAGTGTGACATCCCAGCATACTATACCAGCCTGTTGTATGGCTCTGAGTGGAAACAGGCCCCCCTATAACAAGGAACAGTCAAATCAAGCTGTTTGATGGGCACCGGGATGTTCCGGCAATGTTCCAGCATGCTCAACGAAGATTCAAGTAGTGGAATTGGGTAAATGGAAGTGTCAAGGCACATTCCAAACGGTGATATTTGGGAGGTCAAGACTTGGCCTAACAAGATCTGGAATTTCGGATGTGAAAAGAGAAAAAAAAAAAAAAAAAAAAAAAAAAACCATCTGCCCAGGGGGAATGACACTGACGGGGTGGATCAATTCTGAACATACTGGGAGAGTTGTAAGGTCCTCACTCCGAAATACCGAATTTTACGGTCCGGACGGCGGCGGCGGCGGACCAAGTCCAGATGCCGTGATCGTGTGTTGAAACTGGAGGTCGTGCTGGTCCAGTGTGAAGAGTGGGTCACCGGTGGCTGAGGGGGCTTCAGAGTACCTTGTGACCTCACACTTGTTGACCTTTTGTGCACCTGCCGGGAAATTCCGGCGCCGATCAAATTGTTTGATCTTCGCCAATTTCGCTGTCATTCGCCACAACAGAGCCTGTTTCTTCTGGAAGCACATCTAATAGGCTTGTATAGCGTGCTAGGATGCCATACAGTAGGGATCTAAGAGTTAAGAAAAAAGTTTTTATGCCCCGAAAGTTTTTGGTTGCGTTTCCCATGCGCAACGTTTGGTACGTCATACTCCCTCAGCCCTGCCTTTCTTTCCACCAATTGAACTTCAACTTCGACAGGTCTAGACACTCTTGGCGATCATACCATTGGCCAACGTGATAGGGATTTCACGGTTCGACATCAAATGCGAGAGTTCGGGGGCGCCGCGCAGAGGCGACCTCAGATAGGCAGCTCTTGGACAGTTCGTCCTCGGTCCACGCAAAATTTTCTAACGCAGCTTCCACAGACAACACGAAAATCAGTGGTCTGACAACATTGCGGAAGCCTCACCCACTTCCCAATCACAGCCTCATTTGCGGTGAACGCCACTCCGTTTCTCGGAGCTCTGTAATAATCTTCGCTCGAAATTCAATCGAATACTAAGTACTTCCGGAGCAAATTGAACCGCCTCGTGCTCGAACGATTGACGCCCAATGTTGGCGCCACCAACTTATTGATGACAGGTGCCGTAATTGGAATGTTTTTTCGCGTTACCATGCGTGACGGAGATCTCTCGTCTTCCCCCGTGCCCCGCCATCCTCCCTTACCCTCTCTTTTATCCGCAGATTCGACGGAAGAATCTCTCCTTGAGCCAGGCTAACTCCCGAGCGGTCAAGAGGGCAAGACCGCGCCCATTGGCCTCTCACTTGCGCGTTTTGTCTTCGTCCCACAATGACCTCGCCCACGTCGTTGGACTTTGTGGAAGACTTTTCTGAGGTGTGGCAGGTGCTCGAGGATGCCCGCACCACGAACTCGATGATCCGTGTGTCAATTACCAGGCTGCTTGCCGGGATGCATGTTGACCTATCCTGTCATGCTCATTGCTCATAGTCGGAGCCCTGTCACTTGTGGCGTACGTCCTCTTTCTCCGAATCCATATACGTAGCTTATCGCCGATCGCCTGGGCTCACAGGTTTGATCATCTAATAACTTTTCAAGACGAGGTGGAGTTAATGTGGAAGAGTCGGATATGCACGACGAGCGTGGTCTATGTTTGTGTTTTATCTTACCTCTTCCATGTAGGCCGGGTCTAATCCTACCTCTGCAGCTCTGGGTATGTCTAGAGTCCCAGATAAAGCGCCCACAATTGCTGACTTTCACGTTGCAGAATCGATATTTTACCCTGCTTGCATTAATGTACGCCCGCTTCCATGTCCGTGTTCGTAACTCTTGATCGACGCTCTCCAGAATCGACGCGTGTGGTGAGTTTCCCATTCCAATGGCCAACAGTCACTACTAACTTGTTTCAGTAATGCTAAGTCCATTCAAGTCGAATACCGTGCGTTCTCTTTCTTTGCAGCGAATGACCCCAAGCTTATTGTTGCGTCTCGGCGCAGGCGTATGACCTCGTCCGATCCCTGCTTCCGTAAACCTCATGCTTATATTTCTCGATCTCCAGATGCATCAGCTTCTTCAACGTCGGTTCCCATCTCGTACGATCCTCAGTAGACTGACATTGCCTTTAGGGAGAGGCGGTTTATTCTACACTCATCCTCGCGACGGTGGACTTTGTATTAGTCCTGAGGTAGGTTTGTCTATCATGCTCACGGTCCGTCTCTAATGTATGATGCGCCGACCAGAGTTTGGATTCTATACGGCAAGAATCGGTGGTTATTATACGTGCTTGTGCCGATGATAGGATGTGAGTTCTGCTGCACTTCTCATAGCTGAATGCTGACAATGCGGCAGTGGAAATTATGACCATGTCGGTGACCTTCATGTGTTCAAATTGTGTCGAGAATTCAAGCAATCCAAAGGGGCGTTGTATCTCATTACACGATCGCTTCCGTGAAGGGTGAGCCATATGGCTGTCGTTCACAGTGACGTCCTACTGACGATGTGCAGAGTACTGGCCGCTTCCGTACGTAGACTGGTGAATATCACCACCACAAATATTGACAGCAAGCAGATGGCCGCTCTCGGGATGCTACCCCCGCGGTACGTCTCAGCTATCCGCAACTATAGATATAATATTCTGATTACCTCCCCGCAGGTAATGTCCCGCGGTACTTTGCATTCTACTCTGTGCCTGTGCTCGTCGTCGTAAGCCGCATTCCTTCGAATCCCCGTTTACGCACCTCATCCGTTTCGCCAGTCCATGACGATGTTCCTTATGACGGTGTACAAGTGCGGCAAGACACTGCTGACACATGGGCGCGCGCAGATGCCGATCTACAACATGTTCCTCCGGGATGGCGTCTTCTGGTTTGTCGCAATATTCAGTCAGCCAATTTGGAACCCATTACAACTCGTGAAAACTAACTTTACGGCTTCGTCAGTCACCTTCATTCCTGAGGTGGTTATCTGGGCGCGCGCCCGGCAATCCCTAGCCGAGCTACTCATAGCGTAAGGAACTATACCCTGCGAAACCTTTCGATCGCTAACATGAACCGACATCCCCCAGTCCAGGACTAGCGTAAGAGCTATTCCGTGACGCGTATTTAGCAAAATCTGACCCTTCTTCCCGCAGCGTCACCTCGATAATCGGCTCCCGCGTCCTCCTGAACATCAAGGGCCTGCAACCGCCGAGGGCGCTGCCTACGACGACAACGGACGCGACGTCGCGGTTAGCGATGGGGCCGACTGTGGAGCTGGATACGATTGATTACCCGTCGCGGAGCGGATGGGGCACGGTAGGAACGGTGGGAGATGTGTATGGCGGGACTGAAACCCTCGCGGGTCTTCCATGATCTTGTGTACGAGTGAAATTCCCAAATCCTCGGCTCCTGCGCGCTTCTTCGAGCAATTTGAGCTGGAAACCTAGTAGGTGGCTGGTGTTGTAATAGTTATTCGTCCACGAGCGAGGCCCTCGGCGTCGGTTCTGATCTACTCAACGAAAAAATAATACACTGAAAGGGAGTCGAACCCCTGCCGCTTGCTACACCTGTTGGTCTCTGGAAGGCAAGCATGATACCGTTTCACCACCAGTGTGCGGGGCGGCTTCAACATTTGAGGTAAGGGTGGTGTTGTTAGGTTCAAGTAATGCAACCAACACCCGACTACATACAACCCGACTACAAACCGACTGCGTTCATTGAATACAAATTCACTATTGCTTCTACATGTATCGCCTCAATGCAATCGAGCAGTCCAATATAATACCATAGGCTTCCCAACCTCGTGTGTGGGTGTTGGCACTTGATTGAAAGACGCAGGATGGACAGCGCTGGACGACTCAAGGGCGGCTGTCAGTACTTGGACGGAAAATTCTGGACACTGAAGAGTGACTTGGAGCGTTCTGGCAGTCATGTCTTTGAGTGAGGACTATTTTCTTTCTCCCACAAGGACGCAGAAATTTATTCGTCAATTTGTCAAAAATTTAAGTGGGCCGAACGTGGAGAGTCACGTGGAGGTTGTGATCACATCACTGCCATCACTGCTCTCGGCGCTCACTCTCAAGTTCTCAACTCACTCTCACTCCCCAGTCCCAACTATTCGGGACATCGAGTCTTATCCCGCCACGGAGATGCTTTGTCCTTGGTTTCAGGCACTTCATGGATCGCTCGCCTCATCTCATCCGTTTCATCGGCCGCCGGCGTCGATCGGCCGCGGATGTCGCTGGATAGAAGTCTCATGTCTATCCAGACCACGGAGCGTCTCGCCTGGCGCCGACACCCATTTCACCCACCTGCGGCAGCTCGTCGTGTTCTTCAACAGGATAATGAAGGTCTATTCGGAGAAACCTCCTCTGTCTTTTCTCCTTGCTTTTCTCTACTATCGAGGAATTGAGCGTCCAGTTCGATTTCAGTAGTGGGAGCAGGATTCCCTCCACTTCTGGGATCTCTGGATAGGATGCTCCTCGAATCTTCGCCATCCGGGGCTACAGATAAACGGCTCTCACAGTGCCGCAATGCCCGCGCGAGTCAGCCTGAAATCTCTCCACGCTATTTCCGCCCTCGGTGCCCGTTTGACTTTGCCAAAATAACGACCCTGTGTATCGGTCAAGACAGTCTGGTGCCTCGTTGCGAGGTATTTCGCCTATCCTCGGTAATGTACGGCTTCCGGAGTGGATTGCTCGCAAAATGCAACGAAGCTCGATCACAGCGGGTGTCTACCCACTCAGTTTTGAGGATTCCAGGAACATGCCGGGCCGCTGCCGAACGAGATGATGCACTGATCCATTTGCCAACTCCTAATATTGATTCACTGTGAGTCAGATTTCGTTTTAGTGTCTCCTACTTTCTGACTCTCTCTCAAACTTTACTCTTGCGATTATGCCCGACGTAGAAACGCTTCTCAAAGAACACGGCGACTTGTCCTCGGAGGACGAGGGGGAAGAAGTCGTTCCGCAAGTCGAAATTGACTCGTCGACACTCACGCCTCTCTCGCCCGAGGTGATTTCCAAACAAGTGCGTCACCTACTTCCCTCTGAAAGTCTACTACTCAAAACATCCTTCCATCAATTCAGGCGACGATTAATCTCGGTAGTTATAACCGACGGTGCTGGTGATTCGGTGCTCATTGTCTCTCCGTCTCACAGGTACGATTGGTCATGTCGCGCACGGAAAGTCCACCGTCGTGAAGGCCATCTCCGGTGTTACGACTGTGCGGTTCACAAACGAACTCGTCCGGAACATTACCATCAAACTTGGGTACGCCAATGCAAAGGTGCGCAGTGCCCATAACGCGACGTATATAATCGAATTGAACTTCACCGTCTGTAGATTTATCAGTGCGAAGATCCCGCCTGCCCGCGGCCGGGATGCTATCGCTCATACCCATCTAACAAAGACGATCACCCTCCCTGCGAGCGTCTGGGATGCAATTCGAGAATGAACCTGGTCCGCCACGTATCCTTCGTCGATTGTCCGGGCCACGACATTCTGATGGCCACCATGCTGAATGGCGCCGCGGTCATGGATGCCGCGCTTCTCCTCATTGCAGGAAATGAGACCTGTCCCCAGCCGCAAACATCTGAGCATCTCGCTGCCGTCGAGATCATGCAGCTGAAACACCTTATCATCTTGCAGAACAAAGTCGATCTCATCCCGGAAACTCAAGCCGCGGAGCATCAGAAGAGTATATCTGCGTTTGTGGAAGGTGCGTCTTTCTCCCATTTTTGACTTTTGGTCTTGAACCAGCCCCAGGAACGGTCGCCGCAAACTCGCCTATCGTCCCCATATCCGCCCAACTCAAATACAACATCGATGCGGTGAACGAGTATATCGTCAAACACATCCCTATTCCTGTGCGCGACTTCACATCGGACCCACGTCTCATCGTGATCCGCTCCTTCGACGTGAATAAGCCAGGCGCGGCCGTTGACGATCTCAAGGGCGGCGTCGCTGGCGGGTCCATACTCAGGGGCGTTCTACGGATCGGCCAGGATGTCGAGATTCGTCCCGGCGTCGTGACGAAGGACAACACTGGCCGCAACCAATGCAAACCCATCTTCAGCCGTATCACGTCGCTGCACGCGGAAAACAATCTCCTGCAATTCGCAGTGCCTGGTGGTCTGATCGGTGTCGGGACGAGAATCGACCCAACCTTGTGCCGCGCGGATCGTCTCGTTGGTCAGGTCCTCGGTGCAGTGGGCACACTCCCCAATATCTACGCCGGTGAGTGTTCCTCCGCGATGCTTTGCTTGAGTTTCATCCGTCCTGCAGAATTAGAAATCAGTCTATTCCTCCTGCGCCGTCTTCTTGGCGTCAAGTCTGAAGATAAGAAACAAACCAAAGTGGCGAAACTCAGCAAGGGCGAGCTCCTCCTCATTAACATCGGCTCGACCTCCACGGGTGGGAGGGTCTTGGGCGTCCGGCTCGCCGAGGCTAAGATCGAGGGCAAAAAGGTTCAGGCGACCATGGCAAAGGTCTTGTTGACGTCCCCTGCGTGTACCGAGATCGGGGAGAAAGTCGCGTTGTCGCGCCGGATCGAAAACCATTGGCGGCTGATAGGTGATTGCAATTGTCGTATAAACATCCAAGTTTGCTGACTGTTTCTCTTGCGTTTAGGATGGGGGACTGTGCAGCGTGGTACAGTATTGCAACTGGACTAGTTCTGGGTTATCATATTGCTCTATCTAATGTTTCGAGCGTGAATTTGTAATTCTTCTGGCTTGTTCCGGGCATTAATGTTGCGAGTGGGGGCGCCCTGGGGTTATTCTTTCCATTTCCCCCCTCGATATGCATGCGTGTTCACCTTCGCTGTAACATTTAGCAATGGATCCCAATACGTGCTGCGTGTACATCAACAAATACAAAACGCGTCGTTCCGCTCTACGATCTAAATTATAATAGACTGAGAGTCAACCACTTCAACACATTACTTTAACGTAATATTCGTGTGCGTGAAAGATAATCATACAAAGGCGAGTGTCACTGAAGTATCATTAATACAAGGGCTCCGAAGCAAGTTTGAGCGCACCATAAAATCGCACCACGCAGGCCCGTCGTCCGCAAACCTAGACTTTGTCCCGGGATGTGTCACGAATCGCACCGTCCTGTCCTCAAAACGCGGCGGACTCTCGCGAATCGTGCATTCAGAGGGCCGGCGGGTTACAGGGCACTCAGCCTCCTCCGGCTCGTCAGGCATGGGTACCTCGGGGAGTACCAAAGAATTGCGTCGCTTCCCGTTTGGTCGTTGACGGCGTCGCGAGAGGATGCGCTTCAGGCCGCGGGGTTCTGAAGTTTCTGGATTAGGGTCATCCAAATATACGCGAAAGCCAAGAAATTGAACGAGATCGTACGGGTAAGCGAATCCCCCTTAGCGCACTCGCGACCATTCCTGCTGTCCAGGAAGGGCATTGGGATCATCAGCATTGCGGAAACACCACGCTGGTAAAAAGAAAACTGTCAGTATATATTGGAGAAGTAGGCCGTGTTCGACTCACTTTGACCAACCCAATACAGCTACGGAGTGTGGAGGTGGATGCCGCCGACGAGCCCGATGCCATGGACTCAGTGGGAGAGCGCAGTGTCTGCGGTCTGCTCTTGGACGAGCACCGGTGAAGGGACACCGTTACGACCTTGGAGCCCGGGCCATACGCTCTCTTGGACTTTTTCGTTAACAGGGAAAAGCGGTTGAAGGGGGAAGTAGACTTGGAGGTATTCGTGAAGGACATCGCGGTCGTAAGGAGCGGGGAAGTGAGGGGCACAGCAAGGGTCTCTTTTATATGGGCGGTTCCGTTAGGTATTCAGGGAAATAACCGAGACCGTCTTGGGGATTCTTGGCTTGCCGGCAGCCGCCTTGGCGAATGAAACGATTTAACCACTCGATTCTTTCCACAGAGTAATTGGTTGGAAACGATGATCGCAGGTTGGACGCCTGCAACAGCGGGATGGCAGGAAGGAAAGCACTGGTAAGTGCGAGCAGGACTGTGAAGATTGCGGTACTTGGAGGAGATGCCGCCCGACAGCGGCAGTGCCACTGACACCGATCGCGATCGGCTTCTTCAGTCGCCGCCCAGCCTATTTTGCTCGGCAACTATGGTGACAGCGGAGCCAACAGGGAGCCAACCGTTGGATTTTGCGGCGCAGGTCCTTAGCTTGCTCGACGTTGCGTTGAACGCGCTGGTTTTCTCTTCCACAATATTTTTGAAACAATGGTTGAATCTGCGTCTGAAATTGCCAAGAATGCGGCTCGGAGTGGAAATTGAAAGGCGGAGTCTTCCTTCGAAGGACTAATTCAGCTAAAGCTGTAGACGGATGAACGCTCCGCTCCGCTGGTGCCTACCAGTATGCAGTGCAAGGGCACTTGCTTGATCCAAACACCTGCAAATGGATAAATTGAATGAATGAGTAGGCGAAAGAACGGTAGTCGGGTCGGGAGCTGCCAGGATCCGGGGTAACTGCTCGCTGGCTGAGCATTCATTGAATAACCGTTGGCGATCCCGTCTGCTCGTCACCAACACTGTTGCCCCCTTACCATGTGTTTTTACCCCAGGTTGTCGCCTGGTCTCTGCTTCTTTTCCAAGTTTCCTTTCCAGTTGCAAC